CAAGGTGTCAACATTTCAACAGTTGCCGCAACCACGTATAGTAACTGAAATCCGAAGTTTCCACGGATTAGCCAATTTTTATAGATGATTTATTTGTGGATTTAGCTTGATTATGGTGCCTATTACGGATTATTTGCGATCGAGTAATTTCCATTGAGAAGACTATCAACAGCGGAGCTTCGATACTATCAAGGCGGCCCTTAGTTCCGCCCCTGTTTTAACTGCACCGGATTTCAACAAGCCATTTCAAGTAGACACCGATGCTTCGGTTGTGGGGATTGGAGCTGTACTTTCCCAAGACGGCAAACCAGTCGAATTCTTTAGTGAGAAGCTGAGTCCAACTAGACATAAACGGTCAATTTATGAGCAAGAATTATATGCGGTTGTCCGAGCTTTACAGCAATGGGAACACTATCTATTGCACCATGATTTCATCTTGTGTAGTGATCATCAAGCATTATCAAAAGAATATCAATCGTATGCATGCAAGGTGGGTTATTTTTTTTACAGAAATTCAGCTTCATACTCAAACACAAGTCAGGACAACAAAACCGGGTAGCCGATGCTTTGAGTCGGCGTTCAATATTGCTAACCCAGCTGCAAACTGAGATAACAGGAATGGAAAGTTTGAAAGATCTCTACTGCACATATAAAGATTTTGTTGATCCTTGGCAAGGATGCTCGGCTGGACAACCACTTGGTGACTACACCTTAAGGCACGGGTATCTATTTAAAGGCAATTCTTTATGCATTCCGGACTCCTCCGTGCGCCTGCAGCTGATCACCGAAATCCACTCCGGTGGGTTAGCAGCTCATCTAGGCAGGGAGAAAACTATTGAGCAAATGAAAGCACGATTTTTTTTGGCCCCACTTGCGTAAAGATGTTACAAGGTTCGTGCAACGTTGTCCGGTTTGCCAACTGTACAAAGGGAGTAGTCAGAACATGGGATTGTATTGCCCGTTGCCAGTACCGGTTTCCATTTGTGAGGGTCTTAGCATGGACTTCATACTGGGTTTACCACAGACAAAGAAAGGAGTTGATTCTATCATGGTGGTGGTTGATAGATTCTCGAAGATGGCTCACTTCATAGCCTATAAGAAAACATCTGACGCTCTCAGTGTTGCTCGTTTATTTTTTAGGGAGATCATTCGACTTCACGGGCTGTCCAGAAGCATCACCTCCGATCGAGATGTGAAGTTCGTTAGCCACTTATGGAGGGAACTTTGGAAGCAGTTACAAACTGAAATCAAATTAGTTCCGCCTACCACCCGCAGACCGATGGACAGACAGAAGTCGTGAATCGCACTCTTGGCAATATGCTCCGATGTCTAGTGCAAGATCATCTGAAGAAGTGGGACGACATCCTAAGCCAAGCCGAGTTTTCTTATAACTCTATGCTGAATCAGTCTACAAGTATGTGTCCTTTTAATATTGTTTATACTAAGCCACCTAATCATGTTGTAGACATTGTCGTCATCCCAAAATGTCACAATCCGGCGGCTACCAAGCTTATAGAACATGCTTGGCAATGTCCGCAAGACGGTCCAAGCCAAAGTCTTTTAGCAAGGCGAGTTAGTGATGGCGCAATTCAGGAAAGAGCATTTTCCTACTGGAACTTACTCCAAGCTTAGTCCCCGAAAGTTTGGACTATTCGACATTAAGCACAAAATCAACGACAGTGCCTATGTGTTAGACTTGCCGCCCGATATTCTGACCTCCGCCACGTTCAATGTGGCCGATCTCAGTCCTTATTATCTGGCTGCTCTGCAGTCATCAAAGTCAATTCTTCAAATACGAATTCTTCTGAAGTGGAGGAGGATTGATGTGGAATGCCTTTGCTTATAGTATTCCGCATGATTAACGCAACTTTAGTGATGCTTTTTATGTTATTTAGCATAGCTTCCACTACTTTTATAACTAACTATAGGATTATAGTACATTTACCTTTTTATACTCATGTTACACCTTTTGTAGAAAGCTGAAGCTTCTCTTATACCAGGGAGGAGGCTATGTGTGCAGGCTATGTGTGCGATTTAAAGAGAAGTAATGATGGGAATACGGAGAGTTTCAAAATTTTGCGTGCGATTTAGGACGTCTGTTCGGTTGGATTTAGTTTTTATCGGCAACAAAGCTGAATGGATTCAGCTTTGTTTTTTTTTTGAAAAATTAGGGGCCAAAGCCCATAGCATTAAACCAAAAAGATTACAAAACAAGAAGTTGACAGATACCACAACAAAACGGTAATCGTCAACCAAAAACCTATCAGCTTAATTGCTGCATAACAACAAAAAGAAAAACAAAACTATCAGCAAAAGCTGCTGAAAAATAAAAAGGGTATAACATTTAAGAACCAGCCACCAAGCAAAAGTGAAGCAGGAAGAGCCAACTTCACCAAAAGAGCTCCCAAGCCTGACATATCCTGGACTCAGAGAAAAAATTAGTGAGGCAAAACGAATGAATTGATCCCTGGTTGCCCGTAGACCATCCAAGGGATCCGGGAGCTCCATCATTGTCCAGGAAAGGCTTGCAAAACGGGACCGAAGCAGATTGGCTACCAATCAAGCCAGCAACATCATCTCCAAAGATACAGGAAGACAAGCAATTCCAGATTTCATAGGGACTAGAGGAAACACGACCCTCCAAGAGCAGCCAAGAGAAGGAATTACCCCAGAAATTCTTTAAAACGATCCACCAACTTATCATAAGCTTTCCATTTACCAATTTTAGCTCGAATGGCAGAGGAGATGACAGTCTTGAGATAATCCGGAGTATTCCAGGAGTTAGAGAACCTCCTAACATTTCGTTCCCTCCATAAGTAATAAACCGCCACAGATATAGCCAAAAAACAACAATTTTTTTCCATAGCATTCAAATTGGCATTGCAGTTAAAGAAATCAAAAGTCTGATAAAGATTAGGCCTAAAGTAGAAGCAATTGAGAGCAGGCAGCAAAGAGGATATAACAGAGAAGGTAAAATCACAGCTGAAGAAAAGATGAGAGTGAGACTCATTATGCCCCCTGCAAAAATCACAATTAGGAGAGGCCGGAATTCCCCTAACAATAAGCTTGTCAGCACATTTAAGCTTCCCATTGATCGCCATCCAAGCATAACAAGCATACCTCAAAGCATGTTTTTTATGCCATATGAATTTAAACCAGCTAACATCATCCAGATTATCATAGAAATCGAGGTAAAATTTTTAAAACGAAGGTTAGAGAAACCAGCACAGTCCACCCATTAAACCTCCTCCCACCGAAATTGAAAGAATCTTCCTCTGATGTCTAAAAGCACCCATCAGGTAAATCACAACCCGCATTTAAAGAAATAAACTCCATAACCTACAACAACCAAACGCAGCATCATAAAAGTGATTACCCAAAGAACACCAGGCAAAACTAAGGATCGACCAAAGCAAAGAAGAAATTGCAAGCATCCATCCGTGAAACAAAAGAGATCCTTGTTTTGAATAGCAGTATTACACACCAACTTCCAAAATTTAGTAGCAGCCATGGGGGAGGAGATTTCCAAGGAGAGAGAAATCTAGATTTTAAAACGCAGCTACCCAAAAGAGATTGGGTATTAAACATGCGCCAAAAATGAAGGAACAGCAAACCCCATAATCATCGAGTTCAAAGATAATCCTAAACCACCTTTATCCTTGGGTTTAGTGAAGCATTCCAAGAAATAAATGCATTTCTTGTCATTGTAATTACCAAAGAAAGGAATTTAGAACATACTTGGAGATAACCCTTACGGCAAGCTTTGGGTAAAATGGCACCCCTAACAGTGGCGATCGTATGAAATAGTGAATTTAATAATTGAACCCTACTGCAAAAAGAAAGAAAACGAACTTTCCAACCCTCAAAGTTAGAGCAGAAAGCCTGCTCAGTAGGGGTTGGAAGTGAGCAAAAGAAATTAAGTCTTTTGTAGGTGATCGGAGCCCAAGTAGGTGAGGGAATCTCTCAATGGAGGAACCCAAAATAGATGCAGAGGAGATCAACATTTCCCACAGACTTAGAGAAAGAGAATATGGCTCTCTAATGGGTTAATAAAAAAGTCCAGAATTCTTTCAAGAATAACTCTGGCAAAGAATTCTTAAGATATGTCAGATTTATCATGAGAGGCCCTCCAAAAACCAAGAGGTATCAGCATACATGAGGTGATTAATAGATGAAGGACCCTTGGTTTCAATCCCGATAAAAGAAGAATGCTGGAGGCGTTGAGACAGATCCATACCATAGCAATGCAAAAAAGTAAGGTGGGAGAGGGCCACCTTTGCGGAGGCCAAAGGAGGAGCTAAAAAAACCTCAGGGAAGCCATTGAGCCAAATAGAAGAAATTGACATTGCAAATGCAACTTTGATCCAATCAAATGAATTTTCCGGAGAAGCCTTTAGTCTCCATCTACAGCAGAAAACTCCTTGAGACCGAATAATGCCTTTTTAATAATCAAGTTTAGCACAAAACAATCTGAGAACTCTAAAAACTTTAAAGGTAACTCATTAGCCAAAATAATGTATATCCATGGACTGCCCTATAGCAATGAAACCCGCTTGGCTAATATGAATAATAAGAGGTAAAATAGGCTTGAGCCTTTATGCAATAAGTTTAGCCCACAATTTATAAAAAAACATTAACACAGAGAGTCGGCCTAAATAGAAATACTAGAAGCATGAGATCCTTTCGGGAAAGTGTAAATAGCCGTGGCTTTTGGCCCCTTTGGGATAATCTCCAGTAGCAAAAAAATGTCTAACCGCAGTACAAACTTTTATACCCAATAAGGTGCCAAAGCTTGTTGTAGAAACTGAAGGAAACCCATTCCCGGGCCCAGAGCCGAATGCAGGCTTACCAAGCAAAAACCACCGCTTTAATGTCATTGTCCGAAAATAGGGCTCAACAAGGGAGTTGAAAAAAGAGAGGGAACGCATATTACCAACAGGACTAGATGACAAAAATGATTCCAAAATTATCAGTGGCATTGGGAAAAAGTTTTGAAATGCTCAATAAGCTCCCCCGCAATGTTGTGATGTCCGCGTAATAATACCACCGACTAGAGGAGATTTTTGATTAAGATTTCCTATTGCTCTAGATCTAATTTTAGCATAGAGAAAACCCAAGTCGTCTTCCCCTTGAGCAAGCCAATAAGATTTAGCTCTTTGGGCAATCCAGGAGGACCATTCCATTTGTAAATGATTAAGTCTATCATTAGCCAATTTAAGGTTGGTGTTAAAAGCTTGGTCAAGAGGAGCAGATTGTAAGGCATTCAGGCAATGCATCTGATGACTTTTTGCTTCTAAAATAGCATTAGACAGAAAGGTGGAAGAAGACCAATTCATACCTTTGATTTTAATTTTCAGGGCTTTCAAACAATTGTAAAATGCAGAGATAGGGCTAGCCATATTAGGAGTATGAAAAACATTGAGTAAAACTTCCCAAAACCCATCTAAATTGAGCCAAAATTTCTTGAACAAGAACCTTGAGAAGATTCTATTAACAGAGTTAGCCAACAAAATAATCGGAGAATGGTCAGAACCGCAGGGAGAATCCACCTTGTAATGAGCCATAGGAAAGAAGTCCAGAAAATCTGAATTCACCAAAATTCTGTCGAGCTTAATGTGGATGGGCAAATCAATCCTTTGATTAAACCAGGTATAAAGATGACCAACAGAGGAGAGGTCTTGAAGTCCACAGTTAAAAATAAAATTATTAAGCTCCCCCAAACGTCCAAGGGGTAAAGGGGAACCCCCCGCCTTCTCATAGTCAAATCTGTGACAATTAAAGTCTCCCATGACAGCCCAGGGAAGATGGATGTTTTGAGAAATATGAAGCAGATTGTCCCAGAGAATCTTTCTATCTTCCGGCTGATTAGCAGCATAAATGACCGACAATAAAATTGGAGGGGAGGAGCCAGAGGAAAAAGTCCCATGGATAACCTGGGAAGAGATGAAAGTAGGGGAAAAAGAGACAGCCGTGGAGTCCTACTTGAGCCAAATTCTACCCGGATTTGAAAAGGCAAAATTATCACAACACATTTCATTATCAAAAACCCTGTGGCAATGACAAAACCAGGGATCCGAAGACATAGAAGGATGAATTTTAGCTTCTAAGATACCTAGAAGCTTGAGATTATGGGAAGAGATGAGGTCTTTGCACATAGAAACTTTAAGAGGATGATTAAATCCTCTCACATTCCAAGAAGCAAAAGGAGGTAAAGACATGACTTAACGTGGGTTTTTTGCCTTTTTGGCAGTTTTGGCTTTGGTTTTCTTCCGAGGAGAAGACTTTTTGGAGGAAGCTTTAGACTTAGTAGAGGAAAAAGGGGTTTGCTCTTTGGAGGCACCAGAATTATGACTGTAGGTGTCATCCTTCAAGGAGGCCGAAGAAACAATAGCATCATCATCAATTACCCCAGCCACAGTAACAAGAGCCTGATCCTCATCCAAAGAAGCAAAGCTATTATTAATAAGAACTTGTGGGGGAATCAACTGAATGGGAAGAGAGGGAGGAGACGAGGAAGATTCGTCATTGGGCAGATTAAGATTAGGGATAGCAGTGACTTGTTCCACAGGGATGTTCGGTTCCTCCGGCAGAGAAACAGACTGAGGGGGAAGAAGAGGAAGTAGTGGGGGCGCGGGATTCGGTACCGTAATAGAGGGAGGGACCAAAACTGCTTCAGCTGGTGGGGAATTAGAAGAGACTTGGTTTGGTATGGGAGGATTAGGGGTAGGGGCAGAGGAGCGAGGGGGAGGTCTCCTGCTCTTTCTTCTACCACGAGTATGATTGTTGGTCTGGACAAGCTTGGGGTTGGGATTGGAGGGACACAAAGAAAAAGGATGGAAGAGAGAGCCACAGCCATCACAGGGAGTCGGTTTCCAGTCATAAACCACTTTCAAAGTCATGTCTTCACCGTCCAAATCCAAAGGGATTTCATCCAGCAATTTCGAATCCTTGCTGATATGAACACAAACTCGCGCGAACGTGAGTCTCGTTCTCTTGGCCGTTAACGAATCAACAGATAAAGGAATACCCACAAAACTAGCAATTTGGGATATTCCAGCAGGCGTCCACAGAGCCAGTGGAAGATCCAAAATTTTAATCCATATCGGGATCAAGGCGGATTCATCCCTAATGGGTTTAAACTTAGGATTCCACTTCTGCAAAATAAAAGCCTTACCTAGGAGGAACCAAGGACCCCCTGAAAAAACATACTCCATGTCTTTAGCAGAGGTAAATTTTAGAAGAAAGAAGCCATCCGCCATGGAAAGCAAGGAGAAGGAGCCTTTGAGCTTCCAAGCCTTGTTCATAGCGCCCATAAGACGTTCATAATACGGGCGAGGTCCGATGGAGTACCCCACCAGAGAATGAGTCCAGATGCTCTTCCCCGCAGCAAGCTCACCAGCAGAAATAGAAAGCTTTGCGGTAGGAGTGACAAAAGACATGGGCCAGTCATCAGGAAGGACTGAAGGAGAAACTAGGTTGTCCGCGTATGAGACCAGCGGCCTGGAAGGAGCACCAAGCACGAAAGTGCCCGGGAGACGAGGAAAAGCAGAAGGATCAAGAGCCATTCCGGAGCGGAGGAGCCAGCCTCAAGCACAGAAGTGCCCGGGAGACGAGGAAAAGCAGAAGGATCAAGAGCCATTCCGGAGCGGAGGAGCCAGCCTCCTCCCGAGAGAGGAGAAGAAAGGCTCGCCGGCCGGAAAGAAAAAAGCACGAGGGAGCCGCCAAAAGAGAAAAAACCCTAGCAGAGCCCGTGCAAGTTCTCACAGAAAATTTTTTTTCCTGTTCTCCTCAAATATTTTTTTAAATAAGATTCAGCTTTGTTGAACTGATATAAACCGACGAACCGGTGTCAATTTTCAAAAATTAGTATGGCTAATATTTTTTTAAATATAATATTTAATATATTTATTATTAAATATTTGAATTAACAAATAAATTTAAAATTTATATATTTTAATTAAACAAGAATAAAAAAATTTTATGACATGGCACATGGCCCAGATTGAAAAATAAATCACACATATTATTTAATATTTTTGATAAATAATAAATATTAAAAAAATCTTTCTAATATTTTGATAAATTCAGAATAATGAACCATTATTTTCTATAAATGTAATATTTTGATAAAATATAAATATACTTGATATGTCATAAAAAATTATCTTGACCGGGCACGAATTTTGAGGAAAAATCAAGTTGGAAACTTCAAAAATTAAATCAGAAACTATCTGAACTCTGATTTTAACAAACTTATAGTCAAATTGAACGACTCAAAAATACAAACCCAACGACGACAAATTTGACCCAATTCAAGCTCAAATGGATCCAAATAAAACATCTGGAGAACATTTGAAAGGTTCAATTCATAATTTGGATTAACAAACAGTTTCCAAATATGACATACTTATAATCGAATCGAGCGGTTCAACGAGACGAATCCAATGAGTGAAAGATCGTTGAATTCTAAAATCATTAGGGCCTCAAAATGTCTAATAAATGGTCCACGATCAATGGATTCAACATCGGTCGTCCATTCAAATCACTCCCAATTTACCCATGATTTTCATCTTATTTACTGGCCATGCCACTCTAAAAAACCATAAATAGACCGCTCATTTCTCTTGAGAGGAGGGCCCAAGCAAGAAGACAAGAGAAGGAAGAAGAGAAAGAAGAAAAAGGAAGCAAAATAAGAGACTCCTCGACCACCACCGGACTTCCACCCGTCTGCCAACTGATGCTTGAAATTTTCCCGATTATTGACTAGCGCCGAAGTTTTACCCAAACGCTGGCTAACACCGAATTCTGTCTGAATGTCAATTGATGCCAAATTTTGCCTGACCCCTAGAACATTGCTGGATTTTTTATATCCATTTGTAACTGAATTTTAACCTGTGAGTTCATTATTGTAATATGATCATTCTCAATTTCAGGGACGAGTCAGCCACTTATAATCTAGGTAAACAATAGTGGAATTCTTCCAACTAGGCATGACCCCGTAATTTTTCCTTTTTCTTGGGTTTCCACATAAAAACTTTGGTGTTACATTTTTTCCTCTATTTGTGTGCTTGATATCCATACAACATTGATATAAGAATTTTCTAACTCTATTACCATGTATATTCTAGCCCGCAACAGTTTGGTGCTATCTCTGAAAGATAATCCCATAATTTTAAGTATTTCTTCAATGGCCAAAGGCATAGCAATCATATCTTTAAAGCCTCCCACTCCAACTCTCACCAATATAGGAATCAATCTATGAATCATGGACACTAAGTATCTACCTCTTTTTATCCCAGGTAACAAAATTCTGCTATAGAAGGAACTTCAAGGCCTTCTCTAGAGGAGCAAATTTGAAAGATGGAAGAATCTCATAACGAGTTCCTTTAACTTACGTAAGAGACTTGGAAACTAGCACTAGCACAAAAAGAGGAGGTTCTTCTCCCTCAAGAACCACCACTATTAGAAGATGTTTAACTCGAACATATTCAAGCAGAGATTCCTTTTCCTCTACTAAGGAGGCATATGCAATCACATTAAGATAATAAACTTGCTTACACTACAAGTTCTACCGATCCTTCACATGCAGGATGAAAACCTCCCTGAAGACTTAGTCCGACTACACATTACTAAGCTCCTTCGTAATGCCCTACGACATGAACTACACAGATTGGTTCGAGAAAAGTTCTCTGTGGGAGGTATAAAATATCCTCTTCATTAGTGGGACTTCAAGGAGTCATCACCCCTAACTGAAGCCATTCTTTAGCACCCTATTCCGACAAGATTCAAGCTACTAAGCATCGATTCTTACGACGGGACATTCGATCCATACGATCATATTGATTACTATAGAATAATTATGCATATCCAATAAACCTCATATGCACTCCTCTATCAAGTTTTTCCTGCTACCGTCAAAAGATAAGCGTAAATGTGATTCTATTCACTTCTAGCCGGAACGATCCCTATATTCATCAATTTGGCCAAAGTGTTTGTTGAACAATTCATTTCCAATCAAAAAATTTCTAAGGATTCTTCTCACCTCTCTCGAATCCACCAAAATGAAGGAGAATCAATTAAGGAGTATTTTGAATAATTTTTTGCTCAGGCTCATCAAATTCTAAGAGTAGATCCTGAATTACTAAGATGAGTCTTTTTGGAGGACTTCATCCTGGTCTCTTCTTTTCGACACTCATATGAGACATGGTTCATTTATATGCCGACCTGAGCCATCATGTGAATACACAAATCTCTATAGATGACGCCATAAATACTTATAGGAAGCGATTTGAGCAAATAAATGAAAAGCATAAAAGTGCACCATGGATGAATAATTCATTACCACAATCAAAGAAATAAGTGGAAGAATAATCTACCTCCTAGACCTCTAATGCCATGATGGGAGCCTCAATAGGAGGAGTATACACCACTGAACATATCTCGGGAAAATTTGATGATGGCCATCCGAGATTAGGAGAATGTGAAGTGGTCAAATCCTTTGAAGCTAAATACAGGAAATTAGGATCAATACTGTATCATTTTCATTATAGTCTTGGCCACATGACTAAAGCCTGTAAGCAGCCCAAGGATGAAATTGAAAGGCTTATCCACCAAGGTTATCTTTGACGGTTAATTTGAGATCTACCTGCTCATGAGGAAGCTCATCCCACTAGGGGAAAAATCAACAACAATAGCGACAATCATTGAATAATTATATAATGGTTGGTGAAATTGAGACCATCGCAAGAGGCCCCTTATTATCTAATCAGGTCTTATTAGCTATAGATAAAAATCTAACACCAGAGAAGGCTTTTATAGATCATTCTATCACTTTTGATGATTTTGATTTGGAGGGAGTAAAAACCCCTCATCAAGGTCCTCTTGTGATTAATGCAGGGATAGGTAAACCTTATTATAATGTCAAAAGAATTCTTATGGATAATGGAAGGTCTGTAGATGTCCTGTTCTACTCTACTTTTCTCAATATGGGTCTCACCGGAGAAAAGCTTCAGCCTGCTGCAGGTTCACTGTATGGGTTTCAAAATCAACCTATATAAGTAGATAGGACAGTTAGTCTCCAATTATACTTAGAGAATTTTCTCTACACACTGCACTCTCCATACAGTTCATTATAGTAAAGTTAGAATCAACTTTAAATGATGTCATTAGAAGGCCACTATAATCAATCTTTGGGATTATCGCCTCCATCCCTCACCTTAAGATGAAGTTCCCTACCCCGGCAAGTGTTAGTATAGTATGTGGAGATCAATAAATAACACAACCCTACTATCTTAGGTAGGTTCAACCACGTCCAATAGTTATCCTGAGAAACGAGGACTTTGAACTTCAGAGCGAGGATATCCCTCAAAGGGCTTCTCCTGTAGAAGACCTAACTACTGTATCCATATTAGAAGAACACCCTTCAAGGACCGTATAATTTGAATCCCTTATCTTAGATGAGGAGAACAAAAAATATAAATGTATATTTTCTATATAAGAATTAGGATGTTTTTGCATGGAGTCCAACAGATATGCCCGAAATCAACAATAAAGTGATCATGCATTCTCTCAAAGTCAACTCGACGTACAAGCTAGTAATCCAGAAAAAGAAAAATTTTGTGTCAGATCGTCAGCAAATAATCGAGAAAGAAGTGGATAGGCTTTTAGAAGCTAGATTTATACGGGAAGTGAACTACCCCACTTGGTTGAAAAATGTCATCATGGTACAGAAGGCAAGAAGAGCTTGGAGAATATGTGTAGACTATATTAATCTTAATAAAGTATGCCCAAAAGATAGCTTTCTGATTCCTCGTATTGACCAGTCAGTCGATACCACCTCCAAACATTAAATATTGAGCTTTATGGATGCCTATTATGGCTACAATCAAATAAAGATGGATCATGTATATGAGGAGGCAATGGCTTTTCGAACATACAAAGGGTTATACTACTATCTAGTGATGTCATTCGAGCTAAAAAATACTAGAGCCACATATCAAGGACTTATGAATAAGGTTTTCAAAGACCTTATTGGGTGTTCTATGGAAGTATATATTAATGATATGTTAGTGAAAAGTCTTGAAAAATCTTAGCATATATCTGACTTAAAATAATTCTTCCACTTGCTACGATGCTACAACATGCGACTCAAACCTGTCGAGTGTGCTTTTGGAGTCGCCTCTAGAAAGTTCCTAGGATTTATGGTAATCCACCGAGGAATTGAGGTCAATCCTAAGAAAATAATGGCACTTAGGGATATGGTGCCCTAAAGAATATCAAGAAAGTCTAGAGACTAAATGAAAGGATTGTAGCACGTCTCATTTCTTAACTTATTCAAGAGATAAATATCTTCCCTTCTTTAAGATACTCAGAGACACTCGTTGTGCAGATTTCCAATAGACTGATGAATGCCAAGAAGCCTTCGAATAGCTGCGAAAGTATTTAGTATCTCTGCCACTACTTTCCAAATTAATACTTGGAGAAAAGTTGTATTTTTATTTGGTTGTTTCTGCCCAAATAATCAGTTTGGTCTTGGACTGAAAAGATAATGTTGTATAATGTCCCATCTATTATGTCAGTAAGATCATGTTTGAAATAGAGGGATGTTTGGCATTAGTTTACTTCGCTATGAAATTATGCCTTATACAATTGGAGTTTACACAAATTTTCCATTGAGAAGTATCCTGCAAAACTAAGAAGCGTCTAGCAGGCTCATCAAGTAGTGTGTATAACTAGGAGAGTTTGATATCCACTTCCTTCCTAGATCCATATAAAATCTCAAGCACATGAGAATTTTGTAGTTGAATGCACCATCCCCGTATTTAATGAGGATTGCATAATAATTTCATATGCATATGAGAAAAAAGAAAGGAGAAGAACACCAACAACCTTTTAATATATCAACAAACATCATATACATCATATGAAAATATCAACACCAAATGTATGTAATCATCACTACAACATATAAGCGGTACAACTAATAACAGAATAATACTACAGAATCTCAATATTATCCTCCTCCTCAAGGGCAAAGGCCTTGTGTAATTCACTCTCTACCCCATCACCATCATAATTTGAAGAAGAGTCACCAGAAGCATGGTTAGGTGTCAACCCCTCAATCTTTGCTCTAATCTTACACTGATCTAAATAGATTCCATTCAAAAAATCTTTAATGAAGCCTTCCTCCATACACTCCAAATCCATGGCCTTAACCTCCACATAATATATGTCATCACGAGCTTCCTGAATCTGTTCCTGAATTATCATTTTAAAGGCAACAAACTTTTTAAATTATTCTATAACTCTATAAGGTGAATGTTCTAACTTGGACATGACTTCCTTCTAAGATAATAAACTATGGAGCCTCTTGACCTCATTTTCAATGGCTACACACTTCTCTTCAGTGACATGCTGACCTTTAACATGTTGGTTGATTACTGCTTGTAAATCCAATAACTCAATATACAGACGGTCTATTTGTTGATTATGTAAAAAGGATGAAGCTATCATCATAGCCAATTCTTCTCTGCACTATGCTAACTTCTCCCCCACAGCCTTCAACTCCTTAATCTTGATATCATACTTCTTTTTGTACTCTCTGTCGAGATACTTGACCTTCACAAACTCATTATTCTAATCATTTAAGGCCTTGGTCATTTCAATTTCAAGATACATAGGTTTCACCAAATGAAAAATGAAAAAGAATTTTAAGGGATATATCCTAATGAGAGTATGAAAAGAAAAAGAAAAAAAGAGAGAATGGGAACTCACAAACTCCTCAGCCCTGATACAACCAATACATTGATGTTTCAAAGCATCTTATGAAATGTGTGACTTAGATGGAGAGATATGATGACCTTTGCTAGTGACTATGAAAATCTCCTCTAACCTTTTCTTCTAGGATTCCTGTGGATAACCCTCATTCCCTGATCATTTAGGAGGAGCCTTAGGGTTGGATAAATGCCTCTAGGACTTTGGCTGACTTCTTTAGCATCATGTGATCTCCCTGCTTGAGTAGATAGTCTCACTTTGAACAATTATTCTTCATCTACATATCTACTCAAATATTATACCTCATAGTGGAGAGTGTCGATATTAGGGAGATTAATTATCATCAGTAAATCCTCTACTCTAACGTGTAAGAGAATGGGTAAATCTATTTTTGTATTTTTCCTAGAGTTTCCAATCATTATGCACAAAAAAGAAGTCACTAATCTTTGATGGGTCTCAAGTGTGAATATCCAAACACTTGGATCTGAAAGATATACGATCTTGTGTATCACTAATAAGTCTACCCATCTGAGAAAGGCACTTTGGAGATAAAATCGCTCCACGATATCTGAAAAATACAATCACTCCCATTATGATCGACATGGATCTATAAGAAAGCTGGGATAAACTCACTTCATATGTTGTTAAAATGTTAATAAACTCCGAAGGAGAGAGAAATCATAGCCCCTCTTAATCACTCCACATGTCATTGAACTCGTACACTGCTAAAAATTCCAGGGGAGGGGAATAGGTACGAGTGGATCTTTCAAGCACTTTCATCACAATATCATTAGGAAAGTGAAATTTCTTCCTGAAAATGATCAAGGAATCACCAGTTATGGTGGATATGATATCATCAACTTTGACCACTTTCTATATTTTCTTCAAACCCTCAGATTAGACACTAGGGTGATCTCCTTTAGCTGAGGGAATTTTGGTGGAAGTTATGTCACTCATTTAAACTTCTACGCTAAAGAGGGTCACTTAATTTAAGTAGGGGATACACCTACTAAAAATAGTAGAATGCCTCTAGAGTAAGAAGAAAAATGGGAGAAAAAAAGAAGAAAAGACTGCAAAAATTTTAACTTCTATACAACAAAAGGGGTACTGAATTTAAGTAGGGGATGCCACCTACTAAAAGTAGTGGAATACCTTAACTGTAGGGAAGTTAGAAAGAGAGAAAAAAGAGAAGGAAAGGTAAAAATTCTAACTTCTACACAAGCAGAGGGGCACTGAATTTAAGTAGGGGATGCCACATACTAAAATAGTGGAATACCTCAATTGTAAGAAAGTTAGAAGGAGAAGGGAGAAGAAGAAGAGGTACAAAATTTTTATTACCCCAGGGGGGTATTTATAGGATGAAAATGGTGGGAAATTGTTTGAAAAGAATGGGTAATTTTTTAAAATTGGAGGGAGAAGACTCCTAGAAACCTTTTCAAAATTTTCCGAATTTTTCTTAATTTTTTTCAGAATTTTTTTGGCAGAAATGTTATTTTAAAAAAATAAAAAAAATCAAAATATGAAAATAAAAAAAATAAAAATTTAAGAGACAAGTAGCACTGTAGCTGCCGCTCGCCATATAAAAAAATAGTGGGGGTCCACTAAAAAAAATTTAAATTTTTAAATGCAGCAAAAAAATGCCAGCTGCTATCAAAACGCCCCCCCCCCTCGCCTCTTCGCCGACGTGTCACCCCAAAATTTGGCCTAGACAGTCAGATGTTTTTGGGGTCCCCATATCCATTTTTTGACGTTCGGGATTCAAATTTGACACTTTTGGAGCTTAACAGAGCTCCTATAATCAAATTTGAGAAAAAATACATATTTTGAATGAAATTATTCATTCGAGAAATTTTAAATGGTGTGAAATATATTTTCAAACTTTTAGAATTTTGACGTCCAAAATAGGGGGCAAATAATATATCATCAAAAAATTTCTTGATCGGGCACAAATCTCAAGGAAAAATCAAGTTGGAAACTTCAAAAATTAAATCGAAAACCATCCAAACTCTAATTTTAGCAAACTTATAGTCAAACTGAATGTCTTGGAAATACAAACCAAACGACACCAAATTCAATTGGGTCCAAATTAAAGACCCAAAGCACATTAGGAAGGTTCAATCCATAATTTGGATTACCAAACATTTTCCAAATATGACATGCTTATAGTTGAATAGAGCGGTTTTATGAGACAAATCCAACGATCTCATGATCGTCAAATTCTGATATCATTTGGGCCTTGAAATGCCTAAAAATGATTTATAATTATGGGATTCAACATCGGCCGTCCATGCAAATCATTCCCAATTTATCCTTGATCTTCCTCTTATTTACTGGTCTTGCCACTCTCAAAAAACTATAAATAGACCCCTCATTTATCTTGAGAGGTTGACCAAAACAAGAAGAGAAGAGGAAGAAGAGAAGGAAGAGATTCCTCCTTGTAATTTTTCTCTTTTCTTAGGTTTTCATGTCTGTGCATGAGGATGCTAATATTAAGTGGGAAAAAGTGGCTACTGATATTGAGAATATTGCAAAAGATGTCCTCGGAGTATCAAAGGGAAAAGCTCCCAATAGTAAAAATTAAGTACCATTTACGTCCAGGCCGATATGTACATCGGGCCCTGGCCGATCAGTAACAAAACTCAGAAAGATCCTCGGTCCAGAGAAATCACTCGCTTCCTTTAATACTCTTATGTAAGATCAAACCTCCTAGGACAATCGATTTAAAATCTTGGCTTGATTCATGACCAGGCCTATACGGACAAAAAATTAACTTAAATCCGTATAATATGGGGTTGATTTTTCACTTATTAAGATCGTATAAGCCCAAATTCAACCAGTATGCTAAAGATAATTCTCTCCACACATAGCAACGCATTATAATGCAAATAGAATACAACGCAAACACAATAAGCAAAAATTGCATTACAAAACATATAGGCATGATATCCTGCCCGATATCCAGCTAAAATCAGAGGAAAATCATCCTGAGCTTCAAATAACTCATGAAATTCAACCCTCTTGATTAAGGATCGGAACAAAGGAAATAGCGCGTAACACACTTTGCCAGTGATGAAGTAGACAAAATAAAATCTGATCACAGAACAGTCAACTTTTAAAAAGACAAGAAGAAGATAGTTATTAACTATCGTAGATATTCCTCCAAGCCGAAGGAGGCTGGCCCTAACGATCGTCCAGGATGAAGGAGCTCATTAGCTCATCAACGAGATCTTTAACCTTAGAGGCTGGAACATACACACACACAGAGGGAGAGTTGAGTTTTCTCGTGTATGCAACTGTTATAAGGCCATAATATCGTGTAGAGAAGAATCAGTCCAGGGAGTTGCCTCTGAGTGATCCACTAAGGGCGTGTAGCCAATGGTTAGACGAGAGGTATAGTAAGAACCAATACAGCTAATGAGGCTCCCATTATTTGGGCTAAGTGCGGCATGGGGCGGACTTTCTAGTGATGCTTGAGTATAGCTAGTCAACGTGGCTAATGAGATACATAGGTAGTATTCTGCCAGGAATGCACGAAGTTAATGTGAACTGGAATGAGTGGGCAATTAGATGAGCTTGGACATAATAGATGGATAGAAAAGGTAGTCCTTGCATTGAAACTCTGAAGGTTCATCTTTATATGGAAGGAGTCTGATTATTATGTCCTACGAATAGACGTAGGCAGTATGGGTTCAGAATTCAAACTGTCCTAACCTAGTAAGGCCCGGTAACCAAAAATGTTCTCAAAAAAATAAATGACACTATTGTAAATATTGTTGATTTCATTAGATAAGTAAAAAAATAACTATATTATAAGACTATATTTCAGATATAAAATGGTTCTCTACAGTTGTGTGGTATTGTAAGAGGTTGTTATTTATTCTTAAAATAGATAAGAATTTAACATTTAATAAATTAGTATGTCCAATTTAAAAAAATTTAGTTGAAACTATAATTTAGTCTGATTTCAATTTTATCTATTTGATTTTACTAGTGTGAGTTCAAAATTCCTGATGTATAGCGGTCCAACAATAATCTCTTCTCAGACACATATTCTTATGTGTCACTTGAGCTAATTAGCTCAAGAGTGGAAAACAAAAGCTACCTAGAGAGACCTGGAACCCTTCAACACGGCGTAATAGGCCCTTGGACTCTAGCCAGAAATCACTGGATGCTGAACAAGAGTTGAAGCTCACTCTGAGTGTTACAATTTATGCTCGATAAATGAGCGTAACATTTAGTGTTGTATCCGATCTTTGATTCTGAACAAGGTATTATATCAGCAAAACAACGCATACCACGAATATAGAGACACAAAAGATATGATTAAGATCACGATATGATACATTTACATGATAACACTACAAAAATATAAAACAACAATCAATACAGAACAATACAAGAGCTCTTTGATCCACTCACCAAGAATCTATGTTGATGATATGCTCGTGGGGTTCGGCTTACAATTGAATTTGCGATTTCTCTCGTGTGTGATTATACCGTAAAAGAGGTATTTGACCTAAATTCTCATTTAAATCAATTTTTTAATAATAAGAAATAGATAGGTCAATGAGTCTCTCCTAATTGAAGTGATTTTCTAGATCACAAGATTCTGTGTTTAGGTTTATGCTACTCCCCTTACTTTTTCTTTTGAGCTTTAGCATGTAGATATTTGAGTATGTAATGGCGTCACTCCTAACCGGCTGTCATCCGCATACGACGTGAACCAGGCGTTTTATGTGACCCAAACATTAAGGCGACTTTCTCTAATCTTATCTCTACTGGAGACTACTCCAACCTTTCACGAATATGCTCATTCCGTCATCCTATCTCTAAAGGTAAAGCCAACTCATCCATCCTGAGCATCCTCATCTCTGCCAGCACTTAACTTAGTATTAATTGCTTCTCTTTTAAAGGCCAACATTTCGGCCAATAAAGATTAGCAGGCCTCACTACCATCTTATAGAATTTTTCCCTTAAGTTTGAGGGGTACATTTCTATAATAACAAAGCCCGATGCATTCCTGCCCACTTCAACCATCCAACTTGAATTCCTGGATAATATCCCCATCTATTTTCACCATCACTCTGAACAATAGATCCAAAGATATCTAACAGTGTAACTCTATATTAATGACTTGATCGCCAAAGTCACAATCCCTCACTAGGTCTATTCTACTAAAAATTACACTCCATATATTCCGTTTTAGATCTACTCAAGCGAAAACCTTTAGACTCTAAGGTTGCACATCCATAATTCAAAGTTTACCTTCAACTCCCTCTCTAGTCTTATCAACAAGAAGAATATCATCAGCAAAAAGCATACACCAAGGTACATCATCTTGCAAATGTCTAGTGAGAACATCCATGATAAAGTAAAAAGATATGGGCTTAAGGGCTGATCCTTGGATGTACCAACCGAAAAGAAGGTACTTGGTCAATCCACCTTGGTTTTGAGACACAAGGAATAGCTCACTGCATACATATCTTTATGATTTAATATAAGCATTATTGACTCCTTTCTTATTCAAGACTCTCCATAAGCACTTCTCTCTTGGAACTTTATCATATGACTTTTCTAAATCAATAAATATTTATATGTAGATCCATCTCTTATTTTCTCTATAATTTCTCCATCAAACCTCTTAATAAATGTATGTCTTCCATAGTCGAACCTACCCGGCATGATCCAAATTGATTTTGAGAAACATTAGTATCACGCCGCAACTAATGCTCCAAAACTCGCTCCCATAGGTTTTAAAGTATGACACATTAACTTAATACCTCTATAATTCCACAAAATCTTGTAACATCAAACTTTATTATTAAAAATAGGAATTAACACACTCATTCTCCACGTCATCTGGCATTTCTTAGTCTTCGAAAATAGTAATTAAAAGTTTAGTAAGCCATGAAATTCCTTCATTCTTAAAGCATTTCCACACTCTATATTGGATATCATCAGGTCCAACAGCTTTTTCCAACCCTTCATTTTCTTTAAAGCCTCTCTAATTCAGTTTTACATAATACAACAGATAAAAACATAAATCTTTAATTTTTCATCTAGGGTGCTAAAGGTCACTATAGTCAATCTTATTTTCACAATCTTCATTAAAAACGTTTAGCAAAATATCTCACTCTTCTTGTTGAATATCATCTTCTAAGAAAAGTATTTTTTGATCTCTCATACTTTTAATACACCTTCACTTGAACTAAATCTTACTACTCCTATCTCTTTGTTTGGACTAACTTATACATATATCTTTATCTCCCTCTTTAGTAATCTAATATTTCATATAAATACTAAAAGCTATGCCTTTGCATCGCAATATTGCTTTCTTAGCATCTTACGAGCCACTTTATATATTTCCCATTATCAAATTTTTAAAATTAAACAATTTTTATTACACAAGCTTTCTTATTTTTAATTTTTTTCTTGCACATTAGGATTCCACCACCAACTATTTTTCACTAA